TGGGTTCTGTTATGGAGGGCTTAATAGTCATATAATTCATTGCATTTGCTGGTAATAGATTTTGCGTCCGAGAAAACCCCAAGTGTAAATTCTAATGACTTTCGGTATTGATTTTCTACAATCATATGAGCAGATCTTCAATTACTGTATTAAACTGCACTCTATTTGAGATTTGCCACCGCTTACTACCACAGAAGTCAAGGTCCGGAGTCCATACTGCTCTATAACTATAATTATCCTTCACATTGATATCTGACATCCCTAGGAAATGTTGTTCTTTGTTGTAGGTGTTGGGCAATGTTATTATAAATAGACTTTAATGCTGATCATACACAGCTTTCACACAAATTTTATGCCACTTTTCAAGGGCTGGAATTTGTAGCTGCCAATTCCACATTCTATCCAAATTAAGTGCACACTATGTGTTGTGTTATTTGTTTTATGAATTTTCAGTATGAAATGTAACCAATTAATTAGTTAAGAATCATGTGCCATTTTCCATTAATTTGATATCAATTAATTAGTTGAGAGTCATTTTTTTTTATTTTTTTTTATTTTTTTAATTAGTTGAGAGTCATTTGCCGTTTCCCATTTCCCAATAAAGCTAGAGTGACCGTAAGTACCTTACACTAAGGCAGTGTTTGCTTGCAAAAAATGGATTGAGTTTGATGATATCATAACTTATTGATTTGATTCTATTCTTTAGAAAAATATCCAATCCAACTGTGCCATTTAGTTTGGTTGCCTTTTTTATATGCACTCATCTCTTTTCTCCCATCAAATTAGGGTGACAATCGCGCCGCTGCCGAGCTTTTTGCAGTGCTTTTTCGGGGAATTGGTGGTTGCAACAGTCTGTGAAGAGGGAACTCAACATGCATGTAATCATAAAAAAAATATCATGAGAAAAATTTTCCCCATAAAAACAATTTGAATGATTAATACTTAGTTGAAAGCCGTTTTTTTCCTCCATATTTGAGTGTTTGCAATGCCAACTATTGCTTCTTAAAATTCTACATGTAATAATATTGAAAAGCATGGAGAAGGCTGCAGTAGATTCTTCTCTGTGGAGAAATTTGTTTACTTTATGACCTAGGGATAAATAGCCGCTTGTTTAAATGAAGGTTCATTGTTGCGCAGTAGTTATTTTTTTGCTTGTTTGTTTGTTTTCTTTATCTTTTCTTTTGTTTTTGGTACTAACCTTTACTAAACTTTTCAAATCACTTATGTAATTACCATGGCTTTTAAGTGAGATGATCGGAATTGTTGTGTGCAGGCTGGCTCCTCTTCGATTTAGACAAATGCAATGTGTCCATCCTATTCCATTTTTGTTGAATGATCTTTTACTATTTTATGTTTTCTCTATACTTCATTGCGCCTCTTTTGGTTGTTTCACATATTAAGTGCTAGAAATCATGAATGTCATCATTTTTTAAATTTCTTTATATTCTGCTAAGGTTTTTCGATTTCTCTTATGTAGCTTGGAATTTCTTGTGCAGTGGTGTAGGCACCCTCAGGACGTTAACAATAGAAAACGGGATGATATTGTGAAACATTTGAAAGAGGGTTTGTTCGAGAGCTACAACAAAGGTTTGTACTTTGTAGCGTTTCTTTGTTTGTGTAATTTTATTTTTTATTTTTATTTTTTTCGTTCTTCAGTATCCTCTATCCGAGGTTCAGTCTCTTGGGGGGTTTGTCCGTGATTGTGCTGGTATCTCGTGCGGAGATTGGTGGTTCTGCTGTGGGAAGGGCTTGTTTGTGAGTAGTTTAGGTTATTTTGGTTTAGTTTGTGTTGTTTAGGTTGTGTTTTTGGTTTGCGTCGTTGGCCTCTGTGCGCCCGAGTTTCAACTTATTATCTTGTTGGGATCAGACACCCGGGTATTATCTTATTGGGATCTTTTTAATAGTTTTCGTCTTAGTTTGTGTAGTTGTTTGTGTTGTTGGAAGGGTCTGTGGTATTCGAGTGGGTAATGGTTAGCCGACTTCGGTCTGGAGTTTCTTGCTACGTATTCGGTGCTACTGCAGGGCAGGGCCTGGGGTTGTCATGTTGTTGGGAGTTGCATTCTTCTGGTGGGAGTTTGTGATTTACGTAGTACATGTTTCGATTAGGCTGCCTTGTGGGTTGTTCTTTCAAGGATTTCAGCTGTGTAGCTGCTTATTCTGCCTGTTACTGGTTGGGTTCCGATTGTAATTATGTGTTCTATTTATAAAAATATGCNAAAAAAAAAAAAGAAAAAAAAAGTATCCTCTGGATAATTGAAGTTATTTTTTTTAATAACATATACTATAAATTAGATCGGTGTAGATTGGAGTTGCTAAGAGTGTGACTAAATATGAATTTTGATTTGGTTTTGATTTTTTTTATTAACTGTAGTTAATTTTGTAAAATGGGGCATGATTAGTTGTTAATGTGATTTTGAGTTTATATTAAAATAATATTTCAAATAAAATAATTAAAGTTGATTTTATGCTAACTATAGTGGAACTTTTTCATGCACTAATAGTCTTTTCAAGATATGAATATATGATTCATTTTCTATTCTCTCAATTACACAAATCAATTACTGACTTATATAGTATTCACATACTTCATAATCAAAGCAATTTTAAAATCTGAATTGGGCACGGCTGTGTTGTGTACAATCGAAAACAAACTAGTTAAAGATATACTTGTTGAGAAGGCCCCTAAGAGTGATGTCCCTCCATGTAGAGTGTGCAGTAAACTTAATGACTTCAAGTTGACTTTAAAGACTTACTCGGTCACAGTTGAAATTGGGAATCTTATTCGCGCTCCCCTATATAAGATATCGCAAAAAATGAAGCAAGTGTTTTGGTATTGCTCCTGTTTATGGCTTTTGCTGATGTTGTTGATTGGTAAATGTGAAGGACAGAACCCTCCGTACAAATCAGTGAATTTGGTTAGTTGTGGAAGGCTGGATGACCCTTTATTTGTTCAACGACATTCCCAACAATAGTCTTCTCGTATGTTCTTTTGCACAACACAATAAGTAGCAATTTCTTTAGAATCTTCAAGTCCCTTCTCCTTCTCTATCATGATCTATGTATAAAGTAATTTGTGATTGACAAATGGACAGAAAGTGAATCCTATGTATAGTTTTGGGGAGGAAAATTGATGTTCTCTAAATAAATGATGCTCTGCAAAACTAGTGATTAATGGTTCAACCTTACAAAAAATAATAATATTATGCAGTTGATTGGTCTTTATATTTATTCTTTTCTTTATTATGAAATTTTGTAACAGTTGTGGAGAATTAATGAGACGACGTTCAACCTTAGAGTGGCCAACAAAAACTTTATTGGATTGATTAGCTCAGGTGAGGGTAAAATTGTAATTGCAGGAGCAACTGAAGCAGGGCGTAACGAGACCTTCACTGTTGTAATAAAGAACAATACTTATGACACAATACGAATCCGTGCGTCTAACGGCCTCTATTTGCAGGTAAATTAATTAATTACGACAATCTCTCTAAACACTCATCCATTTGTGGTAATGATTATCATCTTCACTTGGTCCATTTATTTGAAATAAATGTAAAAGTGTGTGAATGGTATTATGGAGTGAGCCCAGATGATTGGAACGGACAAAATCCGTCTGTATTCCGAATCAACATAATCGGAATTTTAAGGGGTGAATACCAGCTAACAAACGGTTAAGGGGTGAATACCAGCTAACAAAGCTGTTATGAAGGTAAGTCTATTGAGAAATGACTTATTGGGATTCTTGAATACTTTTAGAAATTTTAAATTTGGTGATTTTGGTGGACTTCGTAAAACTTTCATGATTTTGGTGGACATTTAGAGGCTTTTAGGCTACGTTTGGATTGAAGGATTTATTGAGTGATTTGAAATCTATAAATTTTAAATTTACAAGTTCAAATCCCCATGCAAGTTGGTATGGTAATAGAAGTTGGAGGATTTCAAATTCATACTAGATATTTTTTAGTCAATATTTTGAAGGATTTTAAACGATTCCTCAAACCTAGTCATTTAAAATCCACTGTTTATCACCGTTGACGACCACGCCGTCCGCGATCATTTAGGTTCATCGCCACCGCGATTCAACACTATTGGAGCAAGCTAAACAATTGAATTATAATATTTTCAACACATCCATTCAATGAGTGTGGATGTTAAAAATTTATATTTCAAAAATTTTGAAATCAAGGGATTTCAAATCCCTCAAAACAAACGGAGCCTTAGTGATTTCTTATTGGTGACTTTTTAAAACTTTCATGATGGATGTTTTAAACTTATTAAGTCTTTTATTTATGCATGTAGTTATAACTATTACATTTGCATGAAATATTCATGAACGTTGCATAATATCAATACACTCAAGTTTTTTTTAAAAGAAACATATTAAATTGAAATGAGTCTGATAGTAGACATGAGCTATTCAATAAGAAAAAAGAACGGATATGGATTAATCCTCTAAAAAACTATGAAACATCCCTAAAAATTTTAATTCAAGCTGAGCATTCGAAAACACAACTCGGTTCTGCTCGTCAAAACTCAAGTTAAGCTCATTTGTTTCTTAAATAAAATGAGCTTGAACAACTAATCGAGCTTGTTTATTAAGCGAACCAAAGTGAGTTTGTTCACGAACCACATTTTGTAACTTAATTTTTTTTTTTTTTATGAAGTACACGATCGTATCGAACTTGTTTGCAAATATCAATGTTTAAATGAAAAATTTTAATGATGATAGAAATAAGGGTTGAAGACGGTATAAAAGGAAATGAGATTTTATTACTTAATTACGAGGTCGACCTTTGATGTTGAGGTCGGCACTTTTGCTATACATGGAATATTCACAGGAATTTGTTACAGATTTGATAGAGTAATGGTAGACAGAGAAAGCAGTTGGTGAGAGATTCAACAACCCATAATAAATAAAACGAGTTGCCTGTTTATAGTATCCTTAAATTCGGCATTGTTCATGCACTGTTCATCCTGTCCCGTTGCACAGTAGCTCTGAAAGACAGGTCGACGCGCTCTGATAGACGTTAAATGCGATTTGAGGTATCTTCAATGATTACATGTCAGACACTAAATGCACACGTGGGGCATTTAAGTCTGACAGACTTTTTTGCCAGGCTAGACGAGTTAGGGTAATAGACTAGGGTGGCGCGTCCCATCGTCAATCCTTAGCTGACAAGTGGCAATACTATATCATTTCTTGGCCCTAGATTCCTATTGAGGCCGTCCTTTGGGGATCTTCAGGTCGGACTTTCATTCATACTTCATTCTTGGTCTCGGATAGCACTTTTTTCTGCTCGGCGTTGAGAGAGGTCGGCATCGTCGCCTAATTTCCCAAGATGCCGGCCTCAGGGGTTGATCTGTTCATCGTTCTTGCTGACTTTGTATCTTAATCAGCTCGGCACTTCGCAATCACTCAGACTCTGATCCGAGTCTTCAGGTCGTATTCTTCTGGTCCATCATCTTTGGACCCGAGATCCTTTATCGGCACAACTCGGATATCAACATACAGGCCCCCGAGTTCGGGTGGGCAGCCTTTAGCATTCCTCCTGATGTCGTCTCTGCGAGATTTGACCCGAGTTAGACAGATTGAGGTCGTCCCGACATGAATTTGCTAATCGGACTTTCGACCTCCCATAACGAGGTTGGCATCTCTATTGTACTTGGATGAAATCGATGAGCCCATTACGCGTTGATGACGTAAGATTAAATGACGGGCCATTTAATGCGGCGTGTCCGAAGCGCTTCACTATCGGTTTCGAAAAGGCGCGCCGCTTTGATGGTCATCCACATGGTGGACACTCGGCCGTCTCCTGCCCATTTAATTGAAGCATCACAATTGTTCGATTCCAACAGTTACTCTTATTCAAATTTTGAATTTCAAAAGCCAAACACGTGTCGCGATTCTATTGGGCGACTGTATCTATATATATGGGTCCTTAGGTGCTTTACATGGTTTTTCTTTTTGCAATTTACAGCAAATGAGTATTTGGAGCATAAGGCATTTTCAAGCGAGTTTCCTAAGGTTTTCTGGCGAGGCTCTTTCAGGTAATTTTCATTTCCAAATTCCTTTTTCTTTTACTTTTTAGTTGATCATGTTTATCTCTTCGAGATCCATAACCAGTGTCGGTCCTTCCGGCGAGAGCACTGGCTCCTCCGGCGATGTCGCGACGGTCGGGACCAGTAAACTGGTGGTATATTCACCGACGGCGGCAGCGAACGCCCTCTTCGAGGCGACGCCTATTTTCGTGGTCCGGCCAGATTCGTAGGCGACTAAGCAGCCTCCAGCGATGAGAGGCCAGAGATCCCCTCATCTCTCTTGCGCGGGGGTGACGAACTCGATTTAAACCAGTCGGTCGAAGCCGGCGATGAAGAAGATGTTAACGTTGATTTTCTCAACTCTGACTCAGACGTTGACTAAGGGCTCGTGGACGGGTCCCTTCAAGGTGACACCGAGGGACGAGAGCGGGTCCATATGGGTCGTGGCGACAAGGCGACCGATGCCGAGGTGGAGGCCGTGACAGCTGCCCCCCGGGTTTTTGGTGCCGGCCTTTTCGAGTATGGCCAACACCTAGTGAGGTGTTGGCATGGGCTATGACGTCCGTCATGGAAGATACCGACTTAGTCCAGTTGAAGGGTAAGGCCAACTTCGACCTTGGAGTTTGGATATTCACGCCGTATGCAGGGGAGCGGATCCATTGTCCCCCGACGGGTTCTATGGGGTTTACGATTCCAGCATTCTCTTGGGTCTCCGATTTTCGCTACCCAGCGCGCTGAACGACATTCTTAGCGAGTTCGACATCGGTATTAGCCAGCTGATGCCGACCGTGTTTGCTCGGCTCATAAGTTTGATCGTGATGTTCCGTCGCTAGGGCTGGTCTGACCCTAATGCTGACGAGGTGAAGGCTTTGTTCTCCTTCAAGAAGGTCGGGGATACCGGTAACTATTATAGCTCGGTACTCCCGAGGATCAATAAGACATTACTTCCTAATCTTTCCAAGACCCTACACGGCTATATGCCCGAGCAGTTTTGGGTGGGCAGCGAATGGAGGACCGAAGAAGCAGGTCGGCATCCCCCGACTCATTTCATTTCTGACACAAGTTTTCAGGTTTTTTCTTCTTTGTCTACTAATTTCGCTTTCTCTTTCGTGCTCACAGGTTGGTGTTTACATTTTTAGTCCGTAGTCCTGGCGTGAACCTTAGTGCCGACCTTGCTGCCAAGATTGCCACTTTGTTGAGACGTCCACTTGAAGATCAACACTATCGATCTCTCGTCGAGGAGCAAATTCTGCTCGACTACGGTTTGTGTCCTGAAATCCCCAACAAGTCGTTTGCTCCAGGTATTCATTTTCTCAGCTCGACTTTTATATTGGATTTTACTCATTTCGTCACATAACCTCGTTCTAACTCGTTTCGTATACTTTGTAGTTTATTATCCTCTACTCTGCCAACGCGAATTTAGCTCAATCAAAGAGGCTAACAAGTACCGACGCGCCAATCCAAATCCTCTCAAAGCTAGATCGAAAAAATGTATGTCCGTATGAAGATGGCCATGGAGACGGTGAAAAGCGCCCAGGCCCCGGGATCGGCAGGTGTCGAGGGTGTCGTGCCACCTGCCGCCAATGCTGCCGGTGGTAGCAGGGTTGTGGGTCATGAAGGTCGACCCGACTGAAGAGTCGTCCAGCGAGAGGCAGGGGTGGAGTCTCAGATTATGAAGCACCAGGCACGAGAGGAAGGGCCGGAGGCGTAGGGCGATAAGGAGGCCACTGCTGAGGGGGTCGGAGGTCAGGCCCCCCTTAAGAAGAAGAAGGCTGCCAAGGGGAAAGGTTCGGGCCTTCTCCACGAGGGCTCGGCATACGTGCATTAAAACTGGGTGAATACTTTCGTTCCCGTTGGCGCAGAACAGCGGGCACGAATTGCGAAGGACCTTCCCGGGTTCCCGGATGACTGGTTATTTGACTTTCAGGCTGCCGAAGGAGTTAACTTGCCCAACGAGTTCGGGTTGCTCGAGCAGGTTATGCGGGCAGCCCAGCTCCTGTTGGTTGCCTTGACCCCGACTTCCAGCTCTCATCCAGTCAACTTATTCATCATGCGGCTGGGACACTTTCACGGGCGATGGTCGAGCTCGTCCACGCTGCCGACCAGTCGTAGAAGACTTTGTGTAATATCCCATTCAGTAATTAATAAAAGTAATTATTCTAAGTATGAACTAATTACTTTTATTAATAATGCTCGTTCCTAGTTCGGAGCCAGTTATTAAGTTATTCAGTTAAAAATTCGACTTTAAGTCGAAAGTATTCTCGGTTCAATATTATTCAGTAATCGAGCCAGTTCAGTAATTAATTAATTCCAGTCTGTTTATTTTTATAAATGGATTTATAAGCAGGATTAATAAATATAAGATGACGAATAATCGAAATTGAGTATATTTTGATTAATCGTTTAAGATAAGTAGTGAACTGAACCCAAGTATGTTCGGTCATGAGTTGAAATTAATTAAGAAATAGCCGAGTTTTAGTACTAAATACTTAGAATTTTTCTAAGTGTTTAAGTCATCAAGATAAGATAATAATATTGAGCCTTAGCATAAGTTGATACAAGTTAAGTCTCGAAGTGCGGTTAAATATCCATGAACATTTAAGTGATAAATGTTTAAAGAAGTGAAAAAATTTATTTAGACATTATAGTCTATTTAAATTATTTTAAGAGAAACCGAAATTTTTAGAATTTTCGGTTTTACGGTAATCGTTCGGTTTAAGTCCGAATGTGGTTCCGTAAATGCAGAATATTTCAAGATAATTATATTAGATCCTAAGGAGCAATATGTTCATTAAATTGAAGAAAAACTGTGAGTAAAGAATTTAAATTTTAGAATTTTCAGTTTTACGGTAAACGTTCGTTTTAAGTCCGAATTGAATTCCGTAAATTGTATTATTCTCGGTTTATTAGCATGATACAAGACCATATATGAGCATTACTTTTCAGTAAAAGAGTTTTAAAAATAAGTCATTTTGAAAGAAAATGCATAAGTAATAAAAAAAGATGATTTTTGTTATTTTTATTATGTTGTTCCAAAGATTTTTATATGATGAATGGTGATATTTTTTCAATAATATATGGAATCAATTACATCACATTTAGCACGAAATTTTGGTCATCAATTGGTGAGAATGAGATGAGAAAATCACAACAAAGTTTTGCTAAGTCTTTAAGTTAGCATTTTTTTTTCAACAATTGGTGAGAATTTTATTAAACTTGGTGGAATAAGTTTTATCTACCAAAAGGCTCATTCATGGCTATAACTAGAGGCCATTTTTTATGATTAATTATGTTTGGATAAGAATACAAGTTAATCATAAAATACTTTATGATTAATTAAGTTTATAAGTTTAAATTGTTTATTTTGTTCATTTCTTCACTCCATTTTGATGTCTTGCCAAATTGTGCCTATAAATAGAGGCCTAAAATCAGAGTTCTCACACCAAAGAAAAGTACCAAAAGATATATAAGAGTGTAAGAGAGATAAGTAATAGAAATTGTGAAGAAGTGAAGAATTTAGAAGTGAAGAATCAAGTTACGATTCTAGCAAGAAGGAGGTAATTTACTTATCTTAAAGTTTTATGCTTAAGTTCATGTTTTGATAATGAGTTTACATGTTTATAAGTAAGTATATAATGATTTAGAAGTTAAATTTATAATTGATTCTATGAATACAAAGAGTTAAAGTTGTCCAAGATCAATTATATGATATATGTGCTTGATTTGATGAGATGTTGATAAAGATATGAATAAGCTGGAAAAGTATGATTTAAATGAATGATTATTAGGTAAAAGAGGAGTACATGAGAACATGAATTAAGTGATTTGGCAAAGTATAGCTTGAGTTATGAATTTTTTAAGTTGAACATGCAAGATGAATTTTATGTTCACTATGACTTTAAATTCTAATAGCTTGATGTATATGCATGCTAAAATTATGAAATTTTTATGACATGTCTAATTATAAGTTGAGATTATGACTGTTAAATTTCATGATTTGAAGATGAGAAATGAATGATTTATGATAATTACAAGGCATATATGTAAAGATGAGTATATATGCAAGAATATTCATGATATGATCAAGTTATTAAAGTGAGATTATTATGATCAATTCTCATACAAGTGATGAGCAATTTGGCAAAGTTTTAGTTTAATATGTTGAGTATATAATCTCATAAAGATTGTATTAAGTATGACATATTAATATCATGATTAAATGTTATGATTAAAAAGTGGAAGTATGACTTGAGTTTATTTTCACTTTCAAGTTAATTAAGTGAAAATTTAATATAAGCCAATATTTAAAATTTGGGAGATATGATGTATGATGAATTAAGTATTTGATTGAGTAAAAAATTAAGATGAGTTTATAAATCATGAATATGATGTTGGTAAAAGTTAAGCATGTTTTGAGTTTAAGTACTCAATCAAGTGTAATGTGAAATTTAGTTATTTTCACATTTGAGTTATTTAAGTGACATGTGAGTATAAACCAATATCTATGATTTTGAAGATATGATTTATATATGGTTAAGTAATTAACCTTGAGTAAAAGTTTAAGAAAAAGTTAAGATGTTTGATGACTTAATATTTATTTGAGACATATTAAACTTATTGAATATCTTTAAGATTCGGATAAGTAAGAGTTAAATCTTATTGAGTATAAGAGCATAGTACTTAGTATATTTGTTTATATTTTTATGTAGCTTACAGATGTAACTACCCAAGAGCAACACTTACATTTTTCAAAAGTTTTCAAAAGAAGAAAGGTGGGGACCCAGACTGGGTATTACATTGAGTATAATATTGATATCATGTTCAAGCTATGTATACAGTTTAAGTTTATGCGCTTGGGATGAGGAGACATTAAGTTGTCTCAGAGTATATCCTAAGTTCTGATGGAGGCCGCTTGAGTTGCCTTGAGAAATATCCATCAGATTGTGCACAAGTATCCGATCAGATATCGGCCAGATTCAGTTTAAGTTACTGGAACAGATTTCCAGTCCATATATATACCAAAGATCATGATATTGTATTATTATTGTTGTTTACTTTAGTATGGGTGTTTTTCGGGGTACAAGAGGATCAGTACTCACCCCCATTGTGTTTTTCAGGTAACAGGGTCGGGCCGGAGGTGTGAGCTCG